CGTATATGGGAAACATTCCCGCAAGCGTGGTGATGGTGATGGTAACGGAGGAAGTAGTAGAGCCACTCTGATTGGATTCGTCGAGATGATTTGCACACATATTTTCCTTTCAAGTGAGACCTGGGATCCGCCGTGTGGTAGAAAACGTAGTACGAACTCGATCGGGGTTGCGTTTATTAAACTTACTGAGTAACTGTACTATACTTGGAAGAATACTAAATAACTAAGCTATCAACCTCTCCGTCCTCATGCCTTCCATCCCTACGCCAGCTCGATATATCGTTCAACTAAACGAAAGCAAATAAGTTTCCTCCCCCTCGAGGTAGGCACAGCAAAACCAAATCTTACCTTCCCAATTCGTGACTGCCTCATTCCATACGCTAACTTCATGCTCTCTAGTTCCCCCGTAATGCTCAACAAAAACGTCACCAAACATGCCCTTTTCTCGTGCTATGCTATCTGGTCGCATCATACGCTCCGTGGCAGCCTCCAAAGATGTTGGAAGCTTCTTCACCTGCGCAAGATCGAAGGGCATGAACAAAAGTATAGAAGGAAAACCAATACAAAACACACGGTCCCATTCTTCTTATCATCGGCCGTTAACTTGCTTATAGGAGGGGTAGATAGTTTGAGCTTTTTCTCGATTCCACGGAGACCCAATAAAAAGATGGCGCTGATAGCAAAATAAGGATTCATATCTGCTCCAGGCACACGAATCTCCAGACGTGTCGCCGCTGGTGGAACTGAAGGAGGTGATATGATCCTGATGGAGGCTGCACGAGAGTCATAACCGTAAGTAATCGAATTGGGTGCCCAAAAGGCTTCTCCGCCGACCAAACGTTTGTACCCATTGATCGTAGGCACAAGCTGGGGTAGAAAATCAGTACACCAAAGGCGCAAGCACAAAGAGAACCTAGATACCATTGGCATAACTGCAGAATCAAATCAGCTTTACGGTAGATGGATGGAACATTGTTACTGACCGTCGGCAATTCCATCTAAAATACCAGCCAGGAAATATTCCGCCTCTTGACTTAGGAATTTGACATCGTCGTTTGCAGCTCCCGCTCTTCCAGTAGAAAGCTCTAGTTCGGAAAGAGCGAAGACATTCCGGCCAGACTCGTCGCGTAATGAAACATGCGTGTGTCTTTGATGAATCCGTAAGCACATTTGCTTATGGTCAGCTGTGGCCTGAAAACGTACCCGCTGCAGCCAGGAAGCTAGAAGATGTGTTTGAGTTAAGATATTCTCCGGAACAGTAATATCGCAAGGAAGGAACTTGCATTGCCCCAAGGTTTAGCCATGAAAGTTGGAATAACGCCATGCTTCATGCCGACACTCTTTGTGAGGAACTTGAAAAGAATGGCATTATCTGCCATACGAACAGCATCTGTATACGCTAATGCAGTCTCTAGGACACCGGGACCAGTCTCAGTATCTAGAAAAAGAGCTCAACGGCTGCTTTTAGTTTCGTCATAAGAATCCGGCACTTACGATGGCCTTCAATGTCAATTCCGAATCTGGATGCTTCGTCAAAAATGGCGTGAAAGTAGTCATTGTTGAGCTGGGTGCGTAGCAGTGAATAGCCATGCACTGAGTCGCAAAGTCAGAAAAGTCAGAGAGGGATTTTTGCAAATAGTTTGTGCGCGTACTTCCGGGTGTCAGGGGGGTTAAATTCTGGAACTTCTTATCCGCCAAAGATAACGGTGTCTCTTTGAAGTTGAAGTACTGCACAGTCGGTGCATTAGTTTGTAAAATAAAATAAACATCAGTCATTACCTCGTATTCAACCCCTGCATAACACGCTCGATGGAAATCTGCAGCTCTATCAGAAGTAATTCTCAGAATTCCGCGCGGATCGACGACCAATGGTTCCTTTGTCTCTGGATCTAGAAAAGAGACCAAGAAGAAGGGAACGTTATTCTCCCAGGGTATCCTACGATATGTGGAAAGGTCGATTGAAGCGAGGATGTCTCTGTATCCATTCGCCCTATTGGAAACGAGAAGTTCCTTCGGATATACCGAATCGTGAATATCCCAGCCGCTGTAAGTCTGTTTGGACCTTTCGCAATCTCCCAAGTGAGTATAAATACGCACAATATGACGGAGCAAAAGCCAAAGCCATCCGATGAAGCAGCGCTCAGAAATTTGTCCTTGGACTAACGAAAGCGATAGAGTTCCAGCCGAGATATTTTTTTTCGTGAGTTTTACGTACCATAAACTTTCCTCTCAGAACTCCATCGACTAGATGCAATAAATAACAGATTGTTGGAAGAATAGGCTTGAAGACATACCATCGATACCTGCCCGTAATGAGAGTTGCGTCCAAATCAGAGATTTTAAACACGTACCGGCTACTTTGACCTTGATGTCATTTAAAAGCAAGTCTTTGAGCTCCTGAAGAGTCTTTGGTGCGTTCGCTGTCGAAGTCATGAGTGGAGGAGAAGAGAGAAGAGGCGTAGGCTTTTAGACGCGAGCCAGCGTGTTCCTTATCTTATCTACTTGACGTCATCCAGATCAACCAAACTTGCCATGAGCAGCCATGAAGACTGCCCTTATGCTCTAGTAAAATCACTGAACACACCAGCCCCAATTTCTTCTTTGGAATTTGGACATGCTGGACATATCTTTGCTGGATCTCGTAGGCAACATTTCTTCATATCGGTCTGCAGATCATTTACCGGGTATCTTTCAGGCGATGGAACGCTGCGTCTCTACGATCTATCTTCTTTCAAAGTTCTCAAGGCCGTCCGTGGATTAAAAGATGAAATATCATCTATTGCTTGCTTAAAAAGACCCGAGACGGAACTACGTGATGCTTGGGTAGCTTGCGGGAACCATGTATTAAAGCGTCTCTTCCGTTTGAGTATGATGTATCTAACGCTTCATCCAGGTTTATCTCTTCAAAATGGATACCCCCTCTCTGATAATGACTGAAAAAGATGCCATCTCCTCTCTAAAACTGACTGAAGATGACGATGTCCTCAATGAGGTATGTGTTTCTCAATCTTGAATTTTTGTTCACGGATTTACCCAGATCAGTTTAGATCGCTCTGGACAAGAAACACCTTGCTTTCACTACCGACATAGGCTTAGTGGGTGTGGTCGAACTTTCGACCAGTTCTGTTACTACGATGAAGGAGAGACACGCAAGTGTGAGTGACTAGTATCGCGACAAAACCAAAATTCATCCTGATGTACAGATTTGTTCTTGCGTTGCCTTCGTACCGGATAGACCGAGAGAGCTGGTCAGCGCTGGATACGATGAGACGATACTTCATTTTGATTTCCCAGAAGGAACGACATTATCACAACATAAAATAAGTGAGTGGTCTCGATCCCCGAGTTCATAAAATGCTCACAGGTACACTTAGGCTCTTCACAGGCCATCGAAGGGATGTCTCTATCTCCCCCGTTCATCATGTCAACAGCAATGTCTGCCAATGGCGTACTCGCAGCTGGAACTGCAGACGGTCAGCTATGGATAGGATTCGGAGGCCAGAAGGGACTCGCTGCAAAGACCAAGACAAAAAAAGCTAGAAAGTGGAATGGGCTATCTGATCAAGAAAAAATGGTGTGCACAAAGGTGGCAGATGGACCACTCGTCGCCATGTACGTTCGCAAAACACGCTCGAATTCTGTTTCTAACGAAAATGCAGGTCATTTTCAACTACAGAGATTCTCACTGCATCTACTCTGCTCGGTACAATCGTACAATGGAAGATAAATGGCGAGTCTAGTGACCAAGCCTCGATACTGGAGGAATTATGGAAAAAAGAAGTAACGGGTATGGAAAAAGTCAATGCTTTGGTCGCGAATGACACGAAAATCATTATTGGTGGGTTCACGAAGGACGAGAAGGGTGTCATTGAGATATGGGATAAGCGTGCCATACCGCAAAATACTACAGCCACATAAACCACCAATCTACTTTTCTTTCTTCATTTCGTCCTCTATTTCTGCTATACGCTCCAGATGGACATCTCTCTGTTTCTTGAGTGAAGCGAGATATTCTTCATCCGATAGAGATTTGATTCCTATAGATGCAAAAATTCGCTCTGTCCAGGGTTTTGATGAATTGACGTTTGGAGTCTGAGAAGTACTGGGTTGTTGATGGTTTTGGCGTTGGTGAATTAAATATTCTAGTCGAACAACTCTTGATTCGTTGTACATGTACTGAAGCAACGTGCATAGCACCCCGGCTGATACTGCCCCCGGTAAAGCACCTCGAAAATTTCCTGAAGAAAGAATGGAATACTGAACGTCAAAAAGACTTGCAGCGTTCATACGACTGATTATACGTACGGGTGAAACCTCGTAATATCCCACCTGTGATAAACCCACTAACACCAGAGTCTAATAATCGATCTGCACGAATATCTGACCGCTTCAACTCTTCCAAAGAATGAGGCTGGTTTTCTGTTTTCCGCCTGCGCTCATATTGTGACCAAGGAAGCGTTGAAACGAGGAACGGACTGATCGCGAATTCGCGGATGCCTTTGATTGCGATTCTTTGTTTTAGCAAGAGATCTTTTGAATGCGTAGGAAGGGGACACGCACTGAAGAAAGTTGCACCAGATATTCCACCATTGATCCCAGCTGACACGGTGCGAAGAGTCGCGTTGGGTTGTAGAGTTACGATTCCATGGATTCCTGTTCCACAAGCGCAGACAGCAGCTAGAGGAGAACAGAGCGAGTTTGATTAGAGGGAAGAGATGAGAGTATGGAAAAAAAAAAACTTGCATGTAACAAGTGTACCCTGCAGCACTGACCGCGAGCTCATTAAAGTTCTGAAACAAGTCAGTAAAGCCGTGGGCGCTTAAAATATATCCTCTTCACTCTCATGTCGTGTATTCGAATTTGAGTTTATTCTAGTTTCCATTCATTCAATTCTAACGGATTATTTTGATCATCCTTGTCGGGCTGCCATCTCTTTTGTTTCAAACCATCAAGTTATTTATTGACGGGCCTACCTTGGGCCTACGAAAAATGGACATAGCGGCCGCGTGGCGTAATGGCAACGCGCTAGTTTCCGGTCAAAAGGCTATTGGTTGCGGTAGCTAGAGATTGTGGGTTCGAACCCCACCGTGGTCGTGTTGAGAACTTTTATCTTCTTTTTTCTATCTAAACGATGCGATAACTTGCTCGTATAAAATCCTCCCCGAGATATCATAAAACTCAGCCGACCCCTATTTCCAGCGTCGATTAAGCCTCCGTATATACTCCGATCATAAACAAGTTAAAGAAGTGCCTTGGGGAAGGACCGACAATCCTAGTCCACAGCAGATGCATGCTACAAATTTATACTTGATTACCACAGTTGCGCTGTAAATTTCTGAATCATTTCCCTGCAAGGATCCCAGCGTTAAACTACGATCCTGACTTTTTTGACGAGTAGGTTGAAATACACCAGAGCCACGCCCCAGGAAGTGGGGTTAAGGGAGGATTTGAGCGGTCTGTAAATAATTAATTCAATCCTTTGAGAAGGATAGTACTTGGTACTTGGACTTGAATCCTTTTTCGTCGATGTATAAAATACCAGTCGTATAGCTTCATGTCTAAATCCGACTCATAGAATGACAAAATTAATGTTCAAAGCTTTCAAAAGTATTGAAGGCTTAACCGTGAGCTACAGAGACGGCCGTGTCGTGTGCGCACGTCCAAGTTCCAATTATGGATTATTGAAGCGTTTTTAATTAAGCGCCCAAGTTCAATCTTCTCTCTAACGCTGTACCATGGCAATACCAGAGTTGCCTGGCACCCTCGTCCCCAAACATTCGCCGGAAGAGTCTTGGCTGAAAACCGCGGTTGCTCGTCTTTGCCAGCTGGATAATGAAAGGTGCGTTTCTGGCTAATCAACTGCACTGCACCAAATGACTATGAGCCCGCCGCAGATTCCCTGGATCTCAGCCGGTCAGTTTTGGAACTAGGGATTTGTTGAAGCTCGAAAACCAAGAGTAAACTTCTTTCGAAAGTGAACGAATCCGTAATACTAATCTATGAAATTCAGCTTTTGGGTCTGTGAAAAGTCTGACGGGATACGCGTTTTACTGCTAATACTTCTCGACCAAGCCGGTCAAAGGGTATTTTTGGTGCGGAACTTGCTCGCAATCAAGTATCAAGCTGATTAGTTGCCCCATTAGATTGACCGCCATAATACCTATCGAGAGATCATAGGTCTATTTTTTCCACACCATGAAAACCCCATAAATCCTCTTAGGAACACCATTGTAGATGGTGAATTAGTCATTGATGTTGATCCGAGAACGCGTCGAGTGTGTTTTGTTTCCTGAAAATTTTGGTCCGTATCTTTCTCAACTGCGCCACTCAGGAGACTGTCCGTCTACTGGTTTTCGACTGTCTCGTTGTGGATGACCAGAATGTGATGTCCCGACCGCTTGATAAGCGTTACGGAGTGAGTCAATCAATTATGTCCTCCAACTTGGTTTCTGAAGCTATTGAAGAGACTGAACCTATGGTTCTACAAGCCGTATGCAAAGATGATACGTGACCACCCTCGTGTTGCCGAGACTCAACCTTTCGAGTATGTCAAGCTCCTTTCGCTTAACTTGTCTAATGAAAGGTCTTGAAGCATCAAAGTAAAAGAAATCAAGTCTTCATATAACGTGGACCAAGTATTTTCCATAGATATACCTGCTCTCCAACACGGAAACGATGGACTCATCTACACTTGTGTCAATTCGCCGTACTCTCCCGGAACAGACTCAAACATGTAAGTGAGTGTGAGGTCACACCGCAATGCCAACGTTGATTTCCTTTCGATAGCTTAAAGTGGAAGCCCCCATCCGAAAATTCAATCGACTTCAAGCTTATTCTTCGATTTCCTCCCCTTCCTTCTGATCCAACTAAACCAGATTTTACTGCCAAACCCATTTTTCTACTACACGTATGGTGCGGTGACCAGAATGGCCAGTCGAGATACGAACAGTATGATGAAATGTACGTGGATGATGATGAATGGGAACGGTGAGTCCAGGGTTTTTACGAATTACCATCTCATGCTCATGTCCTGTGGCAGTATGAAAGGATCGGGTGAACAATTCGATGATCGTATTGTGGAGGTCCACTGGGATCCTGTGGTCAACCACTGGCGAATGATGCGTTTTCGGGATGACAAGCCCAATGGGAATCACAAAACTGTGGTCGAAAATATCATCACAAGTATTGCTGACGGAGTTGATAAGGAAACGGTAAATACATTCAATTTCTGTTACATTTTTGCTTTCGCTTACGGAGTTCCACTTCATAGCTTTTGTCTCGTTCAAATCATATCCGTACGGCTTGGAAGGCTCGCCAGGGAGCCACGGCGGGTGCTCCCCCTCAAAATCAAGCCCCGCCACCTGCACGTCCTCCTCCTGCGGGCCCTCCAGCAGTTGCGTCAGCTTCGCGTCCCACTCAGCCTATTCCCCCAATTGAGCTACGTTATGGACCTTTGCAGGAGTCTAAATTGAGCAAAGTTGCAGGCCCTGCGACTTACCATGGATTCGCTCGATGACCGCTTTTTTAGTTCGGCTTCACTTATCTCCATGGGGAATTTATCCCACTTGTGTGAGACTCCGCCCGCTGTTGGTTCGGTTGCGCCGAGGGATGTCCACTGAGTTTTTTTGCTTCCATCTCATCATGCTAGTGGCCAAGCGAAGTGCTAACTGGGACTGGAGTGCATAAAGTCTTTCGGCGCCAATGATATGCACATTAGTAGGTACTACATTGCTACACGTTCTTTGGAACACCTAGTGGCAGAAAGTCTGGAATACTACAAAAAAAGTACAGTATACTCTTCAGCTTAACCTGTTTTACTGTCGCATGTGTATAATTGACCTTTGCAAGCAAGGTGGCCTAACTGAGTAACCCGCCAACCGGATTCCGATCCGATCCGACTGAACCCTCACGTGATAACTTAAACACGGTACACGTGACGAATTTCGCGCTTTCCTGCCCTTGTTGATCTCCTCGAGGCTCGCTGTTACTCGCCTTATTGTCTGAACGATGAAACCAAGGCCAACTCGTGCAGCGGCGTCCTCCAACTCCTTCGAGTTCTCTCACCCAGGAATTCCAGGAGACGCATTAGAGCATGACCGCATACAGCTTGAAGAAAATCTCAATCATCTAAACGTAGACTTTTCGTATCGAGCGTCGTCACAGGGCGACGCAGGGGAGGGAGCCGGAGGTGGAAGGGAAGGGTTTGAATTGGACGACGCAAGCATTGAATATCCTCGACACGGGCAGTCTAATCATGGAGACTCCTTCATCCGCCCGGCTAGAGGTGATGGTTGGCCTTACGGGGCTTATGCGGAGGGCGACGACGACTATGATGGAGTTAATCCTTACGGCGGTGAAACCATGTCCACAGCAGCTCATCACGCCAGTGCTCTCACTTTAACTGCCGGCCTTGGTGGTCGGGGTCTACGTCGTAACACCGGCGATGTCAGCCAAGTCTCTCTCAGCGGTGCGGAATATGACCCCGACCGACCTTTGGAGAATATTCTTAGTGGTAGAGAGTTGGACAGTAGGTTCAGCGTTTTCGATTTGGACCCGTCTCGGAGTAAATATTCTGCGCCTGGACCTGGCGGTTTCGACATTGACCCATTAGTGGTCGATTCTACCGCAGAATTGGACCGAATACTCGCAAGTGGGTACAATCATCCTGCGACCAGACCCACGCCTTCGTCGCCTTCTTCCTCCGCATCGAGTTCCGACTCTGAAGGCAGAGAAAGACCGAAAATTTCTGATTCTCTCCGAAGAGTATCCTTTTCGCCCAAAAGGCCTCGAGTGGCCACTTCTAGAGTCACCTCTTCGAGACATGGCCCCTCTCCTCTGACTCGTCAGGCTTCCCTCCCTCCCGACGAGGAAGTGCCTACACCAAGAGCCCGTCAGACTATCGCTACGAGTACAGCCAAACGCCATATTTCCTCTTCCAATCCTATCCCAACTACACAACCCCAAGTTCGTTTACAGCCACCTACTCCGTCCAATTCTACTAATTCCCGACCGGCTAAGTCTGAGAAGGGAGAAAGGGATCGGGAAGGGGTATCGGTACAGTACAATCACAGCGCAGCGGATTCGCTATATACTAATGGCGAGGCCGAGAATGACGCCTCTTCTTTCGTTTCCGGTACTGGGGCTGGAACTCCAGGCCCCAAGCGATCCTCTGCTTCCAAGACATCGTTACACCATACGCCCAAGCTTTCCCATCGTCGAGACCCTTCTCATTCCAACCTTCACCCCTCCTCTTTCAACGCGTCGCATAATCTCTCTACTAGTAAACTTCACCTTCCAGACGTAACCGGTCTCACTTCTGCGGTCGAGTCTCCTGCGAGACCTGCGTTGCGAGGTGGAACAGGTTTGAGACAGAATTATTTATACCCGTACAAAGGAAGTAGTGAGCCTAGGGAAGTTGAAGGTAAGCGCCGCTTCACATTTTCACATCCTGTTATCACTTCATTGCTCTAATCATTGCGTCTGCTAATACGCCCAATAGTTCGTCTCTTGACCCTTATGAACACAATTCAAGATAAGCTCTCCCACCTCGAAGACGAGAATAGTATTTCTAGACGGAGAGTGAGAGAGTTGGAATGGGAGCTGGAGGAGTGCAAGAGGGAAGTTGTAAAGGAGAGAACGAGGGTTGAGAAAGCCATTTCGTCCGTGCAATCAGGGAAGGCTACCGAGAGGGAATTAGAGTTGGAGAAGGCGTTGGCTGATGCCAAGAGGAAGGCGAAGGGGAAGGCACGCGCTAGAGATACGAGTATGAACAATGGGCATGGAGGGGAAGGGGCGCATGCTGTGGATGCGTCAGTGAGGTATAAGGAAGTGGTCGAGGAGAAAAAAGGTGTGAATACCTTCCCTTACATCTAATTTTTGATGCATATCACTGAACCCTCCGCTTCGTCCTTTTTTCCTTCCTTTCCACCGATGTACACCTTGTGAAATCTTGTTTCAAAAACAGCCCTTGAATCATTGATAACAACTCTCCGCACCCACCTTACACGTCTCACCTCCGAACTGTCGTCCCATCAGGAGCTTTTACACCAACTCTTCTCTTTGAGGGAGGGTGACTTGAATGACATTCGGAAGCT